TTTGGGTCCATTTTTTTTTTACCTTAGCCTGACTTGAAATGGGGCTTATAACTACCCTTTGCTTCACATAAACCTCACTTTTCTTTGAGCCTTACCTCTCTTGAGCGGATAGCAGAAAAGTATGGAGGACTTACATCCTAGCTCTCTCCTTAAAGGTAAAGGGACCCCTGACCATTAGGTCCAGTCATGGATGACTCTGGGGTTGCAGCTCTCATCTTGCTTTACTGGCCGAGGAAGCCGGCGTACAGCTTCCAGGTCATGTGGCCAACATGACTAAGCCGCTTCTGGTGAACCAGAGCAGCACACGGAAACGCCGCTTACCTTCCCTATTTGCAATTTGATGTGCTTTCGAACTGCTAGGTTGGCAGGAGCAGGGACCAAGCAACGGGAACTCAACCCGTCGCAGGGATTCGAACCGCTGCCCTTCTGATCGGCAAGCCCTAGGCTCTGTGGTTTAACCCACAGCGCCACCTGCGTCCCTTTGCTCTCTCCTTAGCTGGAAGTTATACACAGAACATAATTTCCTCTTAGGAAATCATGGCACTTCATATTTGAAAACTACAAGCTCCCCAATGGCAGGATGGTTGATACCTTGAGCATCATCTGTGTCAAAGCTTGACCTTCCCATTTCCAGGTGAGGTTTTCCCCTACTTGATGTAGGAAATGTACAGGGAAGGCATATATTCAAGCATTCTTTTTAAAGCTTGTTCATGGTTTGATAGGAATCCTCAAGGGTTCTTAGGATGAGCCAATGGGGACTAACATTTAACTGCCTTCCCCTGTCAGGTCAGGGCAGTTAAAAGGTGACGGTTTTTGGGTATCCAGTAGGACTCACCAAGTCATATCTCATGCACTGCTGATATAGCACTGAATCTTTACAGCTACATCTCTCTATAAATAATAATATCTGGCAAGTAAGCTGGGTTTGGCTTAGTGGGTCACAAGCTATGCACTGCATACATTGTGGCTTTAAGACCCATAAAGGTGGACAGGATTTATGGCTTTAGAAGGACAATATTGACAGACAAAGTGAAATTCCTGGCCAGATTACTTATTCTGGCTCGATACAATAAGAGCATTTCATTATCTTTTGTGATAGAGCCTTTTCAGTTGCAAATCAGCTTAATGAAGCTATTTATATCTGGGATATCTTGTCTCTGTCAAATGCAAATACTCAAGGGCCATGAGGAAGTAAGAGCACATTCGCTTTTCTCTCATTCCCGAAGTCTTTGTCATGCCCTATTTATTATTTGTTTGTTCGTTTCATTTCTGAATCACATCCCACAAAATACCCCAAAGCGATACAACAGTTATATGTCCCACACAGATACATACTGGGATTAAAATACCCACTTAAAAAGCTTTTGGGGAAAGAAAGGTCTTCAACAGGTGCTGAAAAAGTAATGGAGACAATACCAGGCTGGTATATAATGGGAGGGGGTTCCAAAGGCTAGGTGCCATCACACTAAAGGCCAAGTTCCTACTTTGTATGGAGACTTCCTGATCAGATAGATGGTATCTGCAGGACTCCTTTTCCTGAAGAGAACAGTGATTGGCTGGATGTATAAGGGGTAATATAACCTTATAGGTATAGTGCCTAGGCCCCTAGCTTACATAGTGGCAGTTTATTTTCTTGCAATATCCATGATGTAGTTTCAGGGATTGTGAAAAATGGGATTTGTGGAAAATGTAAATGGCAGCCTGCCTTAATAATCAGAGACCCACCTTTGTAGGAGGGGTGTAACAGAGGGTACTAGCCACTGAAGCATGGAGCCTGGTCTGCAATCAGATATGCCACTGACTGCAAATCCTATCAAGCTTGCACTCATTTAGGTAAAGGTAAAGTTCCGCTGGACAGTTAGGTCCAGTCAAAAGCGACTATGGGGTTGTGGTGCTCATCTTGCTTTCAGGCTGAGGGAGTCGGCGTTTGTCCACAGACAGTTTTCTGGGTCATGTGGCCAGCATGATTAAACCACTTCTGGTGCAACGGAACACCATGACAGAAACCAGAGCGCACGGAAATGCCGTTTACCTTGCCGTTGCAACCGTACCTATTTATCTACTCACACTGGTGTGCTTTCGAACTGCTAGGTTGGCAGGAGCTGGGACAGAGCAACAGGAGCTCACCCCATCATGGGGATTCGAACCGCCAACCTTCTGATCAGCAAGCCCAAGAGGCTCAGTGGTTTAGACCACAGCGCCACCCATGTCCCTTTTTTACACTCATTTACTGTACATATGACAGAAGAGAATTTTCTAGCCCTCAAATGCCATACGTAAGTAGTTGCTGTAAAAGTCAGTTTACAGAATGGCAGATGAAGTTGATGGATTATATGGAATTGGCGGAAATGACTGGCAGAATCCGAGACCAGGGAGAAGAGTTGGTGGAAGAAGATTGGAAAAAGTTTAAAGACTATTTACAGAAATACTGTAAAATTAATGAATGTTAGAAAAATGCTGGAATGAAGTTATATGGCTTTAGTAGAAATGTTATAAGGAATTAAGTATAAATAGATTAATAGAGTATTAAAGGAAAAAATAAGGTTAGAATGTGTTAAGATAATTATAGGATAGAAAACAGAGGAAGATGGAAAGGAATTGCTGAAACATCTAACAGAAGTGGAATACAAAAAGGGAGGTGTGAGTAGGTCGTGGAAATAAGTGAATGAAAGATGGGATAATGAAATTGTTTGATTTATTTTACTGTTTTTGTTTTGTTTCGTTAGTTCAGTGTGTTGAATGTGTCAATGTTATGTAGTGTTTTTGTATTGTATTGTATTGTTTTTGTAGTGTTTAAATTGTTGGAAAAGTAATAAATATTATTAAAAAATAAAAAATAAAAGTCAGTTTACAGTTGCATTGCTCCTTTCTTCAAAATTACATCAGCGCATTGAAGGAAAGCACAGGCACCTAATTACACACATTTGAAAGAAATGCCCTTGATCTGCTCATTGCTTTTCGGGATACAATTGTCCAACTGCAATTCACCTGCCAGCCTACTCTCATCACTGCCTCCAGGACCCATGATAAGGTTTTAGCACTTGCTACCAAAGACCATCCTGTATTTGCCTTTGGAAAATTATTATTACTGCTATGGGAAAGAACAAATGGTCTTTAGTCTTAGCTTAAATGTTACTTGGTACTTTTAGCAAAGCAGTCATTTGCAGCAGAAGCCTAAAACAACATTTACAAGGCAACACATATCCTTTGATTTGTTTATGAGACAGTGGGATTGGCCTTTGATTCCTACAAGCTTTAATGTTGTATCATCTTGTTTCATTTCTACATGGAAGAAAAATATCCTAGACTCATTCTATGTCCCTGAGGAAGACCTACTTCTCTTCCTCTGTTGACACTGAACAAGTTCAGTCTACAGTGATCTGTCAAGCATGGCATCTGATATACACTATGAGCATTACCTAAGCCCCAATAAACTCATATTGAGTAGTTCATTGAGTTCAGTGGGCTTTGAGCAGGACTTATAGGCTTGTTTTTCTCTCTGAGTTTTTTTTTTTGGGGGGGGGAATAGATTGACAAAAAACCTGATAGAGAAGAACATTTGTCAAACAGGCAGAAAAAAACACTTAAAATTATAAATATTTGGATATCCATCTGTCCTTTCACTCCATTCCATGGTAGGGTCACTATACCCTGTTAAAATTGTGAATATATATATATATATATGGATATATGAATTCCATCCAAATAGAATGCCAACTACAATGAAGAAAGTCAATTACTACAGTTGTGATCCCAGTTGTCATTCCACCAGAGTGCACATATTAGCTAAGGGTGCTGGCATAAGAAGCCCAAAGAGTCAATGTTGCAGCATAGTCACAGAAATCCATCACAGAGTGTGCCCATCTTAGGTTACACCCAACTTTCTGCACACAAAAGTGGACATTGGTCTGACAGATTTGGGTAAAGGTTATTGCACGACACAGTCAGTCTACTGTCAATCAACAGAGAGGGAAGAAACTGTTCTCAGCATTCAAGTGCCATGGTGCCAAGGTGCACCAAGATAACAATAATTACGGTAATACTCTTCATTCCCCCCCCCCCACAAGCCCCCTATGAAGCTGTGGGCTCCCAGTTCCTGTGGAGATGCCTGCCTTTGAGGCAGCAACAAATATTCTTGCCAAAATATACTGTATAAACATGAACCAGAACATCCACCTGATACAAATGGACTCCAATGAAACAGAGTTGTTGACTGGTTCCTGCAGATCTAAAATTGACACATGAGGCATTAAGCAGGGCCTGCCAATAGAAGCTTTATTTGTTTTCTTCTCAAGTTCTTAATTTCAGCAAAAATAAAAAATAAAAATGCTTATTTGAGTTTTGATTTTTTTAAAATTAGGACCACATTTAAATCCTTTATTTATCAAGGCACTTTAAAAAGGACTTAACAGAACATTTTCCTTCCTTGCATTCTGAGATTTTAAAGCACATTCCTAAATGCATTGAGGAACTAGGACAAAAATACTGGGAGGAAAGTTCATAAAGTCCTCTGCTTGATAATTCATTTGAAATAGGTCAGAAAAGCCATGGGATTTTGCACTGATGCACCCCCCGCCCTAGGCAAAACCAGGATGTTTAAGTACTCGGTTTCTCACCCCCTGTTAGAGTCTAATAAAATACAGCCTTATTCACTTCCCCCCTTTACATCAAGGGTGTGGCAGAAGTAATGCCCGTGAGGCCAACAACTTTGAACCAGCATAAAATGTCTAGAGGCTAAAAGACAGGCCTAAATGCCTTCATCATTGCTGTTTATTCCAACCTCATCTCAGACTTGAACAAGCCCCTTTCGGGACTGAACTATTGAAAATAACCACAGTCACTTTCCTGATTGCTGTAATTTAATTAAATAACCTTTCACACCGGGCAAACCCAAAAGCAAAAAGGCTCATTAATCTTTCTAGTGATTAGAGACACCTCAAGAGCTTCGAACATTTACCTCTCCTTCCCAGCAGCAGAAATGGATTTAGGAGGATCATGGTTCATACCTCACATTCCCTGGAGCCAGAAATGGTATACGTGCAGGGTCCAGATCCATTAACCGATACATCCATGGTCTCGGAATTTGTCGGCTTGTAGTCCACATAATACTCCTGTAAAGGGGAGTTCATTTGCCTTTCAGACTCTCGAGCTTTTTTCCGGCGCCTCTTCATAAGAGAGTGTTGTTGGAGCTGTTTCATGCTGGCTGGGTAGCGCTTCCATGAGACGTAGATGACCAACAAAATCATAGCCACCGATAGAAAGAGGGCCACACTTCCAGCAATAATCTTGTGAAAGGAAACATGCTCATACTCTGGCTCTGGTCCAGATGTTGGGAAATCTGGAGAAGGATTTGCTGTAAAAGAGGTTGGCTGATAGTCTTCCAGTTTGGGAAGAGTAGGCTTTGGAACAAAAATGGGCCTCTGCTGAGTTTTAGGAGCCTGGTAGGGCTTTTCAGTCACCACGACTGGAATTTCAGCACAAATGTTGTAGGTTTCTACAGCATCACTCACTTTCTCACCCTGGATATGCTTTGGGCCTGCACAAATCATGGTACTTTCCTTGTTTCCTTTGAAGCTTTTAAGCCAATTAAATAGAGGGCAAATGCTCCGAGTACATTCCCACATATTTCCAGAGAGAGTGATGGATATTAAAGAAATCCAGGCATTGACAGTCTCCTGAGAGATGTTGGTGAGTTTGTTGGAATCCAGGTTGAGTTTCTGCAAGTTGGGCAGGCACTGGAACGTCCCAGGTTCAATCCCTGCAATGTCATTCCCTGATAAATCCAAGTTGTGTAAGGAACTCCAAGTCCACGTTAAACCTTGGCTGATGGATCTGATCCTATTCCATTGCAAGTAGATTGAGCGGAGGTTGAAGAGACGTGGAAAGTGAGCAAAGTTGATCTTAGAAAACTGGTTGTGCTCCAAGTGGAGCTCCGTTAGCTTCAAGAGGCCAGCAAAAGCATTGCGGGATAAACTCCGTAGGCGATTGTAGCCCAAATCCAGAAAATCGAGATTGCGACAATCTTGGAAAACTCGAATTGGAACGGTTTTCAATGAGTTTGAACGTAAGTGCAAGATCAAGAGCTTGCGGAGACCTTTAAACTGCTCAGACTGCAGTGCCTGCAGCTTGTTGTATGACAAGTCCAGATTGCGGAGGTTGGGGACTGGGTGAAATGTTTTGTTTTGCAGGTGGGTAATTTTGTTGGAGCTCAGAATTAATTCCTTCAGCCTACGGATGCCCTGGAAGGCATCCTCATCTACAGAACTGATGTAATTATGGTCAAGGTATAGCCATATGAGTTGGTGAAGGCCTGCAAACTGATTTGGCTTAAGCTTCTGGATGCTGTTGTACCGCAACGATAAGCCTTGAGACCCTCCGGAAATGTTCTGAGGGATGTCTCTGAATGCATGAGATTCGCAGTACACAATTTTGCCATCACATCTGCAGTTCTTGGGGCAAGCTCGCTGAGCCCCGGTGAGCGTCACAAACAGCACTGTAGGGAGGAGCACCAACACTGCACTCATGCCTCTCAGCTGCTTGATTACATGGAAACCTGCAATATTAAGAAGATGAGAAACATACATTGTAAAACCAAATAAACCAGAGGCTCCGGATTCATCAGTGGGACCTTCTAATAAGACAGAGCAAGTCTAGCCTCCTTACTGATTCTTTCCCTATTTGTTTTGCCTGGAAATGCTTGCTCTTCTATCCCTTCTTGCGTTGCTTCTTCCTTCTGCTCTTCCCAGTTCATATATACCACCACACTATTCAGTTACCTTGGTTTGATTTATGACCTTTGAAGAGGAATTAAGCCCTCCCCACTTCCACTTGTTTTTGACTCATCCCCATGTGCATCAGCAAGCTACATCTCACCAGAACATCCTTATTCCTAGGATGCTGGGATTTTCACAATAAACATATTTGTCAAGTCACTGTGATATAGCTTTTGGAAGGAAAAATGACTGACTCTAGGGCTGTTCATAGTTCCCGAAGAAGCAGGAGGTTTCTTAATAAACCAACTTGCTAGTACAGGTCCCATCGACCCCTTACGAATTAGCAACCCAAATTTATAACTGATCTTTATAGTATAGCAAACTAGTAGTCATCAAAACTATGCATATATATATATATATATATATATATATATATGTTGAAATGATCTTCCAACAGAGTGCAAGGTAGGATTCTTTCATGTGAGCTAAAAAATAATTCAAGCCTGCAGAAAGGTAGATTGGCATGCATGCCTGGTGTGTCATATCTTGTGTATTAGGAAGTCTCAGAGATAGCATCCTAATAAATAAAGGGCTTCCTAATAATCGTAACACACTTGCATATCTATCTTCATATATCATTGCTTATATAGTGATAACCATCACCTACAGGTATGTTTTAATGCACAGCGGCATGGGTTTATTTTAGTGTATGTGTATATATGACAGATGTTTGCAGAATAATATTCATTTAGCTTGATGTGAATGGCATACTCCTAGCAGCAACAGAGTCAGATATGCATCAGATTCTAGCCAATTTTAGTATTTTACATTCCACATGCCAGCAACTTATTGTACTGTAACGCTTCAGTGTGCATGCAGCCCACATAGCCCATGTTTTCTGAATAACTATGAGGGTCTTGCATGCATGTATATTCACAAAGTGTGTGTGGTGAAGTCGGGAGCAGAGAGAGACTTTTTCAGCCCTTACAATAATCTTTGAGCCAGTGTTTCTTTCCAGAGTTGTAATCTTTCTGATGATTCAACTGCATTTTTTCATCAGGAGAATTTTTGAGAAAGAGCTATTGTCTTCTCAATAATAAATAGTTTATTATTATTATTATTATTATTATTATTATTATTAATATTATTATTATTATGAGTGGGAAAGAGAGGGGAGAAAAGGGACAGGACAGAGAGGGAGAACATATAGTTAGTTTCTCTGATGTCCCTGGCTGAAATCAAGAGATACTCTGTGTGTGTTAGTGGTGGTGTGTGTGTGTGTGTGTGTGTGTGTGTGTGTGTGTGTGTGTTACTTAGAGCAAGGAAGTATTCCTAATCTAAAGATCTTTTGACTCTTGTTTCTAATCTTTCACTTCAATGGCAAGGCTTTTTCATTTAAATTCTGTTATTTTCTTTTTGCCCCTAAGACAGGAACAGCAGCCAAATAGAAATGGTTTTTGGCTTACAGATGGAGAGGAAAATGTAACCTGTCACAATTGGAGGGGGTGGGGAAGGAGCAGCTATCAAATGACTGCTGGAGATCTAAGCATATATTTTGGGAGGAGTGTCCCCCCCCCTCAGATACCAACTCAGCCCTCCTGAACGCAGGTCTACAGCAAAATACCTCTTCCTCACTTTGCCTTCCTGCATTCAGCAAAAGGGCTAAAAATTCAGATGTCCCCCAGAAAAGCTTGCTCAATATGAAACCCAGCAAATCCTGGATGGGGATGGAACATGCATTTATCTACTTATGTGTGGACATGGAAGCAAAAGAGAAGCAGAGCTGGGGCAGGAGCGGGGGAGGAGGTGGGGGGTGGATGGGAGAGCAAAATCACTCAGGGATGTATGTATAACTAAAGGATGTATGTGTATCAATTAAGTAAGTACATGCATTAATCACAAAAAGGGACACTGCAGGGACAGAAACAGAGCAGGGCAGGAAGGGACAAAACACAGAAGCTAAAAATATAATAGCAAGTGAGTCACCTGGCGAAATAAAGCACGAGCGGTGCCGTGACACAAACACGTTATATATATCTATATCTCTTTATGCAGCTGTCCTACAGATAGTGAAAAGTTCGCTTACCCATCCTTTTGTCATCGGCAACTGTGTCCCCCTTTCTTTCCAGCTGTTTTGCTTCTTGTTGGTGAAGATGGTTTTCCCCCTTCTTCCTTTTCTCCCCCCCTTTCCAAGTCGGTCTCTCTCCTTTAAACCATCACAATGTTCATGTCACACACAAGCCCAGCTGCCACCTACTTCACCGCCATCCGGCGTGAATGCCAGGAACCTACACAAAGTTCCCGAGAGAGGGGGGAGGGGGACGAAAAAGAATTTAGGGGAGATGGGGGAGGGTTAGGGGATGGGGATGATGGGGGGTTGGGGAGGGGGATACAGGACTGGAGGATGGGGTATGAGTGATGGGGCAGGAAGAGGAATGGAGCGGGTGTTGTGGGGGGCTGCAGGTTTGTTAACCTCTCAGAGCCATGGAGCACATCAGCAGGAGCATCGATGGGGAAGCTTCAGTGCTGGAGCGACGGCGGACCACGGAGGGAAAGCAACTTCTCGAGGAGAAAGAAGGGCAGGAAGCTTTGCCCGGCTCCGAGCAGCCCTCTTCAGGCGGCTGCCCCCTGCCATCCCCAGGCACAGCAATCCATCCTCTGGCAGGTCCCCGGCGATGGGCGACGATGCCACCAGGCCTCCAGAGCTGTAGAAGAAGTCAACCCGCCCCTCCTCCTCCTCCACCAGACCCGCCACCCGCTTTTCCTAAAAGCTGAGCTGGTTAGTTTTCTCCATTTAGCCGGTCAGGTTGAAAGTGTTCCCTCTTTTTGTTCTTGTTGTTGGGCTTTTTTTGTTTTTGGTTAGCTGTGCTGGAAGAGAGAGGCTGCTCTCCTGTACTCATTCAGAAGGCTTTTCAGACAGCGAGGATGCTCAGGCGCTTGTTGGTGCTAATGTTCTAGTTTGCGATACACTGAGTGCCCTCCACTGGAGAAAACAGATCACATATTAAAGGCACGAACAAGTGAGGCTGTCATTGCTATGCAGACTTCCTTCTTTCAGGAAGGGAATTAAAGACACAGGCGTGCTATTTCAACGCCCACCCCCCACCCCCCGCGCTCCTTTCTGCACCGGCACACATCCCTCCCCCCACATCCCCACACTTCAGCACCTCTGGACCTTTCCCAGATTATTACTAAATGTGTGATGCCGCCGATTTGTTTGCATTGGCTGGAAACAGGTTCAAAATGACTCAGACCCTCACTTCTTCTTCATTCTTTTTAATTGTCGTTGCAAGGTTCCCATCGAAAAATCGGGAATTCCAACTTTAAACCCCCGAGCATTGTAATTCTGACCCCCTCCCCTTCCCTTGCTTTATTTTTCTTTCATCACTTGGACGGGAACGGGGTGCATGGGAAAGCTTTCTGTTTGCAGATTCATAATTTGTGTGAAAGGCATCACTCATGGACTAAAAGGAAATTGTATTAAAGGCAGCTTTTTTGAACCGTGGAGGCACTACAAAGGGTGGAAGAAACAAATCGATATACAGCACAGAACTCAAGATGGACACTTGTTAATATGGACCCTGTTGCGTCATGTTTGGTCCTTCTGCCCCCCTCCCCAAGAGGTGAATGCCAGTAATCAATGGAACCAGCTTGTGTTGCATGCAAAAAGTCCCAGGTGCAATCTTGTGTGGTGCAGTAGTTAGGATATTGGACCAGGACTTATGGGACCAGAGTCCAAACCCCCATTCAGTCATGAAGCCCACTGGGTGACCTTGGGCCAGTCACTGCCTCTCAGCCTAACCTACCTCATAGGGTTGCTGTGGAGATTCAATGTATGGCACTTTGAAGTCCTTGGGTTAAAAAAAGGTGAAATATAAATGCAGTAAATTAAAATAAAAATCCATGGCATCATCAAGGTAACAAGACCATGGGTAGGAGATCTGTAAAAGACTCCTCTCTACTTGATACCATAGTGGAGTCTTCTCCAACCTGGTGCCCTCCTCATGGTTTTGGACAAATCCTACCATCTCCACCCAACAATGGTGATGGGAATTGTAGCCCAAAACATCTGAAGGGCACCCGGTTGACAAAGGCTGCCTTAGTTTATGAAACACCACACTATTCAGTGTAGACAATACTGGACTAGATAGTTGAGTGGTCTGACTCAATATAAAGCAGCTTTAGTTTATATGACAACATGTAAAAATCCAAACTGGGAGGCAAATGGAACCTAACATCTAATGGAATATCTATTATATGTTTAACCAGTGATCTCAGGGTTCATGGCAACCTTGAGATCACTGGTTGAAAGAAGGTTTTTAAATTGTGTTTACAATGTGTTTATACTGTTTTAAAATTATTATTTTTGTAATCATTTCTCCACCTGCTGCCCTGTTCTTCAGGAGGAAGAACAGGATATAAATCTGGCATGATCTACTGGATGTCTTAGGCTGAATCCCTGAAGCATTTATTGATGTGGTCAGTTCATTCATTCATGTCGCTACCCTTATATTAATATGTACTGGGCAGCTTAAAAACAAAACAACATTAAAATGTGAGATATAAGAATCAAAACTAACAACATGCAATAAAATACATGCATCATTAGAGACAGCACAATCAGTTAACAGCCTGGGTTAAAGTACATTAGACTATAACAGACCAGGCTTAGTTTAACCCACAATTTAAAATCCTGGTTGAATAAAAATGTTTCTTCCAGGGTGCCAGTACTGAAAAGGCCCTCTCCTTGATAGCCACCTGCCTCACTTTTACTAATGCCACTGGATTAAGGCCTCCAAAGATGACCTTGG